TCAGCCAGATACTAACACAACGCCTTAGAATTGCGGTAAAAAGAGCATTCAGTGCTGCTGAACTGCGCTGCGTCTTCAAAACCACTCCTCTTTTGCCTTCGGAAGTAAGAGGTAAACTGCCTAATTTAGCCTCTTCCACGTGTTTCTACCAAATTAACTGCTCCTGAGGAGCCAGTCACATAGGTCGTACAATTTGGAGTGTTTCTCGTCGGATTTCTGAATACCATCCTGTGTGACTGAGTAAAGAACAAACAAAATCTATTCATAGCTCTATTCTATCTCATCTTGTGGATACAGAATACAAGATTGACGTTAACCATGCTTTCAGAGTCACCTGCCGCATACAAAAAAATCTTAATTTCGCTTTAAGAGTTCGATTACTAAATATTGCTGAGGCTGTTGGGATCCAGATTAAGATGCCTAATTTGTACGTCCAAAAGAAGTTAGTTCAGACATTATCCTTACCTTAGGCATCTAGGTTTCAATGATCCTCAATTGTTTTGAAATTTTTCTAATTTTAGTTGATATTCTATTTGCTGTTATATCTTTATTATTGTTATAATTTAAGCATCATTAATGAACTATAATTCCATTAATCTTACTTCACAAATCGATATTATTTAAAAAACACTAATATTGTTATTGACTACTATTCTAGAATATTCTATGTATACAAAAGTATATATATATATATAGTTGTTGAGCTAGAAGAGGAAATTATCGAAAAGGATATTCTTTGCTCAATTATTTTGTGTTTTATAGATGTCTGAATGAATATTTTCGCTATAACGGAATATTTGTCTTTTTCGTTAGTGAATCTTACACATGAATTGCGGTTTGTGACCAGTGATTTTTGATAAAACCACAGTGATTAGATCCATCCAGTTAAATTATGATCATCAAAATTTGTATAAAGAACATAAAGTAATATACAGTAGTCGTTGGAGATGTGGAGATTAAATAGATATTTCATAATATGACTTTACATATATGACGGTGCTGTAGTAGAATAACAAATGAAACATGAGACAAAGAGCCAATGCACTATATAATGTGTAATTTTAATCATTGATTCTAAGATGGCACATCAGTGACTTGCAGGTTGAAGGCTAAATTGTCAAGTTTTACTTCTAGGTTCCCCGTGTTTTTCATTCGGATTGTCAAGACGAATGTTCTATTGCACAGTGTACATAGATTTCGACGGCTTAGCGTCTATGATATCAGTCGAAGAAGTTCTTCAGAACTAATAGTAGGCACAAAAATGAACACAGAGAAAACAGGGGATTAAGGGCAAACACATTACAAGCATATTAGAAATCAGGAGCTCGTTAACTTTGAAAAGACATCCATCGTCTCTTGATGGTCTTTGAGTTTTTCCACATGCTAAGTTGAACTACTCATAAAATAGTCAGTAGTGATAATTCTTCAGAAGCAAATTAATGTTGTATGCTATGGAATTTTTTCACATTATTATTAAACATCTACTCAGTGCATCCATTTTCTAATCCGAATCTCTAACTGATTTCACTTATTGAGGAAGTCTGTTTATATGCTTCAAAGATAAAACTGACATGTTTATTCTAAAATGAATTCAAATCCGTACAAAATTTATTGAATTCCAAAGTTAATCGTTTACCATATACTGTTCACCTCATTTTGAATTAGGTTTTTTCTTTATTAGCCTTACCTGTTATCTTAAAACCTGGAAATGAATCTAAAGTATCCTATTAATTTCTCTCAGTTTGCGTTACTAGGCATGCAGAAATTACGAAAAGTGTATTTTCTTTTTCTGGAAATTTAGTGGTGTTTACCTTAGTAATGAAATCTGTTTATAAGTTCTGTTTAATAATCGGGAACTAAGTTGTGTAATTACTGTTTAGTGCTGCGAAGAATACAGCTTTGACAATTGTTTGCATGGATATTTATTCCGTAATGGGGAAGATAAGAGACTTGCTAATGGACCTTTATTGTGGAAAAACACATCATATTTATACATTCTTAACCGCATTAAAGTTTGGCTAGGTTAGAGGAGAATGAACTGTCCAGATTGGTTGGCAATTAGTCCAGTGTTAAACATGCTGTCCAATGAGGTTATTTCATGATGAAAACATAAACTCTGCATCAAGCTACAACTGTTCTTCTGCATACTTTAGTATTCTGTTTCGTTTTCATTTTGTTTGTTTCAAGACGCAGTGGTTTACAGAGTGCTTATTCATTTTCGTCTTCATCAGGTAGTTAAACAACATATTCTGGCTGTTAGATAGATGGAAGTTGCACAATTTTATCTGTTGTAATGTGCCCGATTTGAAAAAAAACTTTCGGATTGTGAAGCAAATAAAGGAAAAGTAATGCTAGAAAGAAGGATGACAATAGAAAGTCAATCACTAAAAAGGTGGAGCAAAGGAAATACTAGGCTGAACACTTCAAAAGACTCCTAAATCGACCGCGTCCTACAACGCACTCAACAGAACTACCAGTGGACATCGACTCCCTGACGAAATCAGAAGTCCTGAATCCAATCAAGATGTCAAAAGCTGGAAAAGCAGCAGCACCAGATGGAATCCCAGCAGAAGCATAAAAATAGACCCAGAGACTTCGGCGGACCTGATGATACCACTACTGGAGGTGTGGAAAGAGGGCAAAGTACCCGAGGATTTGAAGAAAGACTACTTATTAAAACTGCCAAAGAAAGGAGACTTTAATCAATGCAAGAATTGGCGCAGCACTATGCTCCTGTTCATCCCAAGCAAAATACTAAGCCGCGTCATCCTGCAGAGAATCAAACAAGCCCTGGGTGAAAAAATTTTACCGGAAGAGGCTGAATTCAGGAGAAAAAAAAGTCATACATCAATCACGTATCATCAGTGAACAGAGCTTGGAATGGCAGGCAGCTCCCTACCTCAACTTCACTGACTTTGATAAGTTCTTCGACAGCATCGATTGAGAGGTGATTCAGAAACTACTTCGCTACCACAAGGTGCTGCCAACAAATATATACCTCATCCAACAGCTGTACAATAATGCTGCATGCCAAGTAATCCACAACGGGAAACTTACTGAATACTTCGAAGTAAAGACGGGAGTAAGACAAGCTAGCTGCTTACTATCTCCAATGATTTTCCTGATTGCAGTAGACTGGATAATGCAACAGACAGTTAGCGGGCAGCGAGGAAACAGGCCTAAAATAGACATCACACGACGGGCTGTCGAGTGGAACCCGAACGGGAAGCGGCGAGTTGGTAGTCTGTGAGAGGATGACATGGAGAAGGTCATGTGGAGGGAAGATGAAAGCATGTAGACAGACGTGGAAACAGGTGAAAACGTTGGCAGAGAGCCGGATGCAATGGAGGCGTGTGACTGAAGTCCTATGTTCCTCTAGGAACTAAGGGAATCAATAGAAATAATAATAATGCTAGGAAGATTTATGGCCTAAAAACTTCGGATCGCTTTTTTCATTCTAACCGAATTTGTAAGTGTTTTTACCGAGTCTTTCAAGCTATCCAGTCTTGGTTTTGAGGCGTCAGGTATTAGTTCTAATTTGGGGAGTGAAAACGATCACAATGTGTAGTATGTAGCTTAATCTAAAGAATGGATTCAAAATAATTTGCTGGCTTGAAGTTTCGCAATTTGTGGTCACAAAGCAAATAATACTGAAAAAAAAATTCAAATGGATTTTCAGCAATCCAATAAAGTAAATCTTCAGGGAATTACAAGCAGAAGGAAACAATCACCGTGACTGTTTCAATAGGATTGATTTTCTTGAATCAGAAAGAGGGTGTATTGATCATGTCTTCACCCTTCGAAAGATTCTAGAACACAGGCATACTTACCAGCGTCCAACAATCGCCATTCTTCTTGACCTGAAAGCAGCATTCGATTCCGTTGACTGAGAGTTACTATAGCGATCTTTTGCTGTGAAGGGAATACCAAGAAAATAAATCGGACGGATCAAGGTAATTTACTTGAACTCATGCAGAGCCTGCGGTGAGTTGTTATCTGAAGTGGTGATAACTAGTGGTGTGGATCAGGGATGCCCACTGTCTCCATTTCTATTTTATTTCATCATAGATATACTAATGGAATTAGCCTTATATGAATTTAATGACTTAAGGATTGACTTGTTACCACCAGGGAATAATCTCGCTGACTCAGAATATGTGAATGATATAGTCCTTCTAGGTGAAGACGCTAACAAAATGCACGGTCTTCTGAACACCTTGAGCTACAATATACGAATGTTTGGCATGCGACTTGCTCCCGCCAAATGTAAGATGATGCTACAGGACTGGACTACATCAACTCCTAGCCTAAAGAAGTGGGGAGTGAAGTGGTAGAGCGTGTTGACCACTTCACTTATTTGGGAAGTTGCATCAGTCAACGCCAGTTGGTTGGCGTTTGTATATTCCAACTTACGCCACCTCTGGCATAGACGTGACATCCGGCTACCAACCAAAGGGTGTGTGTACTGCTCAGCAGTGTTCTTTGTCCATGTTCATGGTTGTGAGGTATGGCTAATGAAAGTGAGAGATACGAAAAAGCTAGCTGTTTTTGATCATAGGTATTTGTGTTCTATCACCCATGTTAGTTAGGGTGAGTAATATTGAGGTTAGGCGTCGAGTGGTAGGTAAGGAGGGGAAATCAATAGACAAGGCTGTTTAGTTACGTCGATTGAAATGGTCAGGACGTGTTACGTATCCCTAGCCATCGCCTTCCTCGACGGGAACTGTTAGCTGCCATAGGATTATCCTGGAAAACGGCGAATGGTAGTCTAACCAAAACTTGTCATCATTTCATGAAATTCTTAACAGTTCATCTGAGCCGAGTAGGGAGGCTTCCTAGTTGAGGTCTACAGAATGCTATGTAACAATGACTGGAGATCAATCTGTTGTTTCCCTCTTTTTTCTTAATGAGCTACACGGAATGTGGCAACCTGAACTACGGCACCTCTGTGCAAAGTTCTCTGTCAAAGCCAGTCAATTATTCAGTCAGTATGTGATATTTAAAACCGTGAGGGATAGCTTTAGAATCAAGTAAACACACACTTAGAAGCCAGGATACCAACTTTTGTCTTTTGAATTCATTTGCTTACTATTATTTGTGTATAAGTTAGCTAATTACTATCATAGCAACAGTTGTCATAACAATAGTAACGACAATAATAGCTTACTATTCTAGTAGTCATATATGTATAATTGCTATACAACAGAGGTTAAAAGAAACAATAGATTGAAAACAAAAAGAAAAGACGCATCAATAGTCTGTCTGTCCAGTGAAAGTGACAGAATCATTCAGTAAAAAAAGATGATGATAGATTCACAGGGTCTGAAAAATGATGAAACTTATCACTGCTAATGAGAAAACGAAGAATAGATCTAAACAGAATAATTCAGTGGTCACCACAAAAGTACTGGAATTAATTCCTAATTATCTAAAGCATATGTCTAAAGTTGTAATTCTTTAATCGAATTTATTTCTGAATACTAAATTTCATTTTGAATGCACACAAACAGATTGTGTTCCACTGAATGTATATGAATGAAGTACAATGAACTAAAAGAAATCTAATCATCTATTTTGTACAAGAAGCATATATATGTACTGTTTCACTCTTTCATTCAAATGGATTGATGACATTATACGACTACAATTAACACAAAAATAAAAGTAGAGACATTTTGAAAAATATCACTACTTGGTGATCTAAAGTATTATTTGTAAAAGGAAGAAGAAATACAGATTTATGGTTGATTTAAAAGTAGCAATCTGAGAAAAAAAAAACCAATAGATTGTTATTTCTAGTAGAAATTTTAAACTACTTTCAAAGTTGTAAGTAGTAACATTATGCAACAACAGAAAATGGTTGTTATTATTATAATTATATGTACATAGTTATCAAAATGCTACATCGGGTTGTGTTTTTTTTTTAATTGTAACACTTCAAATTTCTACCGAAAACAATGTTTCATCATAAGGACTATGGAAGCCTTGAAAAAGAGGAATGATAAAGTTTATAAAGCTGTGATATTTATATGCTCACTATCAATGGAAGATGTACACACAACGCCAGATTTTACTCCACTCCCTCCACTGTGTGAGGATTTATTAGAAAATTCAACCATTTCATTCTGATGCGAATGTTTACTTCGCTGAGATTGCTTTGTTATACGACGTTGTATCAACAGATCTAATCGTTTTTCTGATCGACTAATAAGATTTACTACTTCACTGCAGGTTAAATTGTCGACTGGAGTATCATTCACCTTGGAAAAAATAGAAGAAAGAAAAGAAAATAGATTAAGAAAACTTCGAAGTTATGTAGCAGTTACAAGCGCAAATAGAAAGTAAGAAGCTTTTAAAGATGACTAGTGACTTAATAAATAGTAGAATAATTAAATAGGTATATCAAACTAGTACAAGAAACTTTTGATAATTCATACGTGGGGGTATTTCTAAAATCTACTATTGGTCTTACGGGGTAACCTGGCTTATGTATTTTTATAGTAATAGTACAAGAAACGTTTAATTTTTCTGCAGATAATATGCAAAGCTCGTTAAACTTCTTTTCTTCAACCTAAAACTGACGATCGATGACGCTTTTTTATTTTCAATGACTTTCGATTGAATTTCCCTTCATAAGTCACCACCTACTGTTAGAAGTTTGACAGTGGACAAAGATAATGACCAGATCACTAGCCCTGATGTCACTGAACAGAAATCTGTCAACCAGAGAACGTGTCAGTTACCTAAACTAGAGTACTGGCGTGACGATTACACCACTATATAAGCACTAAAATATACTCAGAGTTTTTCGGTTATTGGTAGGAAATTCACTTTGGATCTGTTGCGTGTGACTTTTTGATCAATCGGAATTGGCAGACAATTTCAGTCCTTGTCTACAGTGTAACACTTGAACCGAATCTTCTAAGAGTTCATTGTATCAAACCTCTTGACAGACAGTAAATACTAACGAACTTTTGTTCTAGAGAAGAAGAAATGTAATTCAGGAAGTAAGTATATCGGCAAATATTTCACCACAGTTGGAAGTGACCTGCATAATGAATGAAATATCTGTTAAACCTTTGCCTAAAACCATTTAAACTGAGAAAACATTTCCACAATAGGAATGTTTGACTTGTTTATTTCACATATAACACAACTCTGCGCTTATTTTGACATATGGAACTTAACAGTCACAAAACCTGGTTTTTCTAGTTTCATTTCTTACCCTTGATCCGAGTAAACTGGGTGCACTGCCGATTAGCTGGGCACCAAACAACCGAAACGGTCATCTGGTGTTTTGATCACATGGGACACTACTGGTTGATGTGCATGCTAGTATGTGGTCTCATATAAATATGCTTGTCGTCTTGATTACTATTTGTGGTATCAGGCAGATCAGATATTGTAGTGATCTGAATAATTTGGTTTGAAAAGGAAACTATGGTGAAATTTCACCAATTGAACTTGCTTCAAACTTCAGCTTTGAAGTTTCAGTAGCAATGATATCCTTTTTGCGAGGTTCGGCTGCGAACCTCCAAGGAAATTTCCCCTTCCTGCCTGGGCTTACTAACAGGTAGGCGAGTTTTAGGAGTGTGTCAGCAGGGAATCGAACCTCGAACCGCGTGCATGTTTGACGAGAATTCAACTGCTGAAGCACTGATGCATGACACTGATCTAGATTTCAATAAGTTTCTATGCTTTGAAGCTCTAGATGACCTTGACCTACTACTCTGATATATGCGAACTTTGACGCTGATATATTTCGTATATTATATCCGACTTATATCAGACCTCATTTGGAATATGGGATCCAGGCAGCGAGCCCGTGTTTCAAATACGAAATTGACTTATTAGAAAGGGTGCAAAGAGTAGGAACTAAGCTAATAAAGGGTTTCTCAACCCTGTCATATGAGGAGAGGTTAAGTCGACTGGGTTTATTTCCACTGTCATACAGACGACTTAGGGGTGACCTAATACTAGCATACCGTATCCTAAGAAATGATTTTGGAGCTAATTTATCTAAATTATTTCTTCCTTCTAGCACCAACCAATTGCGAGGACATCACCTCAAGGTTCAAAAACCACGGTCGAATCGTCTGCGTCTGGAAATCCGTTTTTCGCATCGAATTGTGAACCATTGGAACTCCCTACCGGAACATGTCGTATCAGCGCCATCCGTTGATTCATTCAAGGCGAGATTGGACCTCCTGTATGAAATAAATCGAAAGGATTAACACAGGCATATAGCCTACTATCCTAAATAAATTGTAAACTGTAAACTGTATATGTGATTGGTCTCACATTCGTTTCACGGTTTTCAATAGGCTAAGTTATTGTGCTGTATAGTCTTCATTGCATGTTTTAGGTGATACAGTGTCTAAATGAGTTTGTGTGCTTATCCGCTGACATCTTTATGTGGATAACAATTATAAACAGTTTTTTTGTTACTGGTTTATTGAATATATAACAGTTTACGTCACCATATTAAATGGGATAAGTATACTTGGGCCTGTAAACGAGCCCAGGCTATTTTATGTGGTGCAGTATTTAATACACTACACTTATATTTGGATAATTATGAGTAATACCAACAGCACTTTAGTAGTACAAGAATCTTGCACAACTTTGCAAATGAAACCCTTATTTGATTGTTCTACGCATTATGTCTTATCTCGGCTTAAAATTGATTATTTCAAGCTGTGATGTAGAAATTCAGTGTTTAATAGTGTCGTTTACTTCCTGCAGATATAATGGGGCACACCGAACACTGCATCAACCATCTTCAGATAATGTCACTTAATATATATTAAGGGATTCAATTATCTTAAAAAGTTTGCGAATAAACGTATTCAAGATAACTTCTTGATGCTGAACAAAGTCTATAGGATTATATGTATAGCGTGACTACGAAGCTAAATACAGTGCCAAACATTTTTGTCACAGTGTAAAAGTCCTATGTTCTGTTGGAGATTTAGATATAGACAAGTCATTTGAATGGGTGTGAACCCTGTTCTATTTAGGAGTCATTTAGATGATGATATTCCTCACTAAAAGGTGTTTTATTAGCTTATAATGCTATCAAAGGAGCTTACACGGAAATGTTTATGATTTGATGCCATTTCCTTATACTCCTAGGTTCCAGATGATCTTTCCTAAACCAGTCTGACAACCTTATTTGCAAGTGGGCTGCTTAAATGTATCTCTGAAGACTGTCTGTGAGGCTTGGAACGACAGGTAGTGAGAAAAAAAATTATTAGTAAGACTTAGTGAAGTGTGGTTACATCGAGCTGACGAGAGAAAAATCGGATTTAGCACGTATCCTTGATGTGAACTTCATCTATCAACAGAAAAATATGAAATTAGTTGAAGGATTTCATCATGAGCTGACATCAGCCATTGGAAAACCTGAAGAGGGTACTGGACAGCTGTTTCCTAAGCCTAGTTTTGGACTATTCAACAGTATGCACCCACTAGGGTTCGAACTCAGCATCTTCTGGTTACAAGGCGATGAAATCCTCCAACCAGTCAAACAAAATTCCGTACAAAATCACCAATACTTGAAAAGAAAAATACAAGATTAATTCAGATTATGAACTGTTGTAGGGACTTAGAATTAATTCAATTTAGATTTCATGACGAGCCATCACCAATTACAGATCATTGAAAACCAGGAAGCAGTGGACAGCCACTTACTTTTCCTACTTTGAGACACTTCAAGCGGTGCACATCTTGAGACGCTCATGTTATGAAGACAAGCTTTTTGACCATTTCTTAATCGGTTTATGGGTACGCACTACTGAATAGTCCCAAACTAGGCATGAACAACTGCTCAGAGACGAAATATAAACTGAAATATAATCAAATACCGGGGCTGAAGTGAAAAGCAGAATATTCCAAGTATGGATTAAATTAAAAGTATTGGTTTTGTAGGAATTTTGTTTGATTGCATAGAGGATTTCATCACGAGCTGACATCAGTTAGAGAACCACTGGAAAACCTGAGGGAGTACTGGACAGCTGTTTCCATCTAGTTTAGGACTCTTCAGAAGTACGCACCCATCGGTACTGATGAAGAGTCCCAAACTAGGACGAAACAGCTGTCAAGTACTCCCAGGTTTTCCAGTGGTTCTCTAACTGATGTCAGCTTGTGATAAATTAGACGCATCTCTAAGTTCAATCAGGTCACAAAGACAATCACTCAAAGTCCTAATTTTTCATCAATCATAAATAACACTGACATATTAGAATAAAATTTTATACTGTTCAAATGAAATTAACTCACCATTAAAATTCGATCGTATAGAAAAAGTTTACCAGATAAATCAGCTGGTGAATTTGGACGAATTGCACTGACAAATATCCCCAGAGTAGAGATCCCTTCAGATACACCTATCCCATATGAATCTGTAGTTGATGTCTTCTTCAATCGAATCCATGTACACCAAGTATTCAATTCAGTAAAGTGATCATGTTTCAGGCTTTTCGCAATTGATGTTTTGTTGGATTTAGATTTTTTAGAATGTGATCTTTGAATACTATTCGGAAATTGTGATTGGCTAGTTTTAATATTCATTGGTGATCCTAATGTGTTTGATTTAATTCTTGAGACTGTTTTATCTCTGTAGTGTAATGAAAGAAAAATATGAAATTATAATTTATGGATTGAAACAAGTACAAAATTCGCTCATAAAACAAAATAAGTAAGGCAAAGATGATAATTTCTTACGAAGAATGTTTGCAAGTTCAAGACCAATATGCGTCAGTTTTCAAGGTGTCAGCTTACTGCTTAAGTTCGTGACTTCTTAACATTTATTTGTACGTTGGTGGTTCAGCTGGAGAATACTCACTGATCATACATGTAGTCCAGGGTTCGATCCTCGGCTAACTCATTCCTAAACCTAGCTTGAGTCGGTAGCCAATCTGATAAAGAGGGAAGGTTTGGCGTGAGGCTAGCAACCCCCCAGTGCTATTCAAAGTTGTAGGCTGAGGCTTGAAGCTCTGTGTCCCACGTGGAATGCGAGGCAATAAAGTAAAAAGACAAAAAAATAACATTTGTTTGTTGGTCTTGCCCAAACTCATACTTCAGTTGCGATTTCTTTCAAAGTGCCATTCTTACAAACAGGAAAAACAGCCTGCTAAGATAGAAAAGTTAGCCTAAACGAAGCATTCGATAGATTCTGCCCAGTTTTAAACTATCATGTCCAGACCAATGCGTCAGTGGCACAGCCATGGAATGCTCGCCAACCACACAGGCGGTTTGGGGGTTCGATCCTCAGCCAGCGCACCCCCTCACCTCACTAAGCCAGTAATAAGACTGGTAAAGAGGGGAGAGTCGGCATGAGGCTAGCAACCTCATCCTGTAAAAAAATAAATACAACTGCCACTGAAATTTCAAGACTGCAGCTTAAAGCCCTATGTTCCACCAGGAACGTAAAGGAATAAAAAATATCTTCAGACCAGTAAAAGGATTTCAAGAAATCGTATCACTCGACGCATCAAAATTTATTTGGGGGTCATTTAAAAGTTTAGCATATAACAGAATAGAAAGTATTACATCACCTGTTTCCGTTTGTGTTTCTGTGGCTGTGATTTTCCTCAGAAAGTAGATTTTTTTTTATTACAGCCTGATTCCACACCGTATTTTTGGTACAGGTATGGAATTTTCAGCATGTGATATCGGTAGCCCACATTTTGCAGGCCGACCATAGATATCAGCTGTGCGTTGGCAGGGAATCGAACTCCGGACCATGTGCATGATCGGCAAGAGTCCTAACCACTGTGCCACCGACGCACATGAAGAACTTTCCACAAATATTATTAAATGAAGAAACTTAGCATTATAGTATACGAAAATCTCAATTATGACTTTCTTCTTGATGAAAGGTAAAGCGACACCTTTTAGATCTGTTGGTCATAAATACTTCCCCCTAAACTAGTAAAGTGAATAGAAGTGACTATTTACACAGTTTCATAAAACTATATTTCAAGTCCAAATGGGTCTGTCGTGTCAAAAAAAAGCTCAAAGATATCAGGATGGTCGTATCCAAATTAGCGTTTTCTCGGAAGTTTATTTCGAGGTAAATTTCGTCACGGACTAACAAAAATCAGAAAACCACAGAGAACCAGGAAGCACTAGGAAGGTGTTTCGTCCTAATTAGGGACTCTTCAATGGTGCGCACACATGACTTCCTCGAAGATCGAATCCAGCACCTTTAAGTCACATTATAAGCTTGTCAACGATTCAAACACTGGGCCAGAATCTAATTCGTGTTTGCTGTCATCGACGAATACCTATCTTCATCCTGGTATCAACGGACCACAAAGATCATCAGTTCCCATTAGAATTCCAGGATTTGAGTTTCTCATTCAGGCACTAATGTGTAGTAAATTAATTTCGAAGTGTTAGATTGTAGGCATTCACCTAGAACTGACCTCACTTAGAGATGAAATCAAAAATTAGGTAGCTTTGAACAGCTGTTTCGCAATAGCTTTATTTATTCACAACGTCTGCCAACACACAAAATACTATCAAAGAAAGATTCCCCTGCTAAAAAAAGGCACTTTGCATTTAGACATTTTCTAGTTTATATTCCTATTAACATAGAAAGTGGAATGAGAATAAGGATAGCTTGTAGACCCAAAAAATAACAACTAGTGAATTCCTTAAATATTCATGTGGAATGGAATGTTTACTGACATTGACAACTTGAATTTGGTTTACGGTCGATATTTTTAAAAATATTTCCATAAGCTATAACATTAGCAAAGGATAGAAAAACATTTTTTTTCTTGTGAAGGCACTGTCAACTTATGACACTTACGCATTAGAAGTGAAGAAAGAAAATAAAACCAATGTTTTTCTTCGCCTAAAGATACTTGTGTCATAATATATATATATGTATATATAATTCAACTGCCATTCGGATGTTCTTATCCGGTTTTATCCCTATGCCTTGGTCAATTCTTTGTCTGCTGTAAGTGAAGACACATAAACTAATATATTTCCAGAACTTAAATGTTTATCGTAGGCTGAAAACTAAAATTTTTATACCAAAATACGGAATATATATATAGATATATGGTGGCCTGCTTAAAACTTGGGCTACCAAAAACTTCCATCTCCCTATTGCGTACATAATCTCTCGTTCAGTTTGTTTTAATCGATTAGGATATGACCTCTAATGGTATTATCTACTCTTGTGTGCATTTCAAATATTTACAAGCTTCTGTACCGCAAATTCTTATTAAACTTGAGGAATGGACTGATTTTAGATGCCAACGTGTTCCAATACATGAGATAAATGTTCTTGGGTCTCAAAATTTACTTTTAAATACCTTACAATCGAATTCCAACTATATATTGTGGATTTTTTGAAGGAGACAGGGCAGAGAGATATATCATAAAGAAATGGTTTGTGTTTCAGCTCAGAGAGCATTGTGTCAAAGGATGTACTGTCAGTTAATATTTTACTTGAAGATATTGTAAGAAAGGGAATATATCGTGCAATAAACTCCTCCGAAATTTCTGTACATTTTATAAATACCACACATAGTGAAGATATTTGTTTTCTTCTTCTATATAATGTGGTCTACTGATGTAGGCCAACTTTTACAAACAATATTCAGATAGTAGGATTTGTGGGGATTTTTGAATGAATTTCAGCTGTTAGATAGATTTTAAGTCACGAACCACCATCATTTAGACGGTTCCTTGAAAACCGGGAAGTATTGAACAGCTACTTCGTTCTCTTCTGAGACACACCTCATCATTGCGTATTCACAGCCTCACCAATGATCGAACACAAGACCTTCAGATTATTAGACCAAGCTTGTTGCCCATTCAGCCACCTGTGCTTGAAATCAGAGACCTCTTGAATATCAATCTAAAGCTCACTGATGGCTACTGTGTGGATGTTCTGAAGTTGCAGGGAGAAGTAGTGATCAATAGGGTCCACCGTTTCAAGGTGAAGTGGATGATCATCCAAGGCGCTATATCACCGGTCACTGAATCCCAACACAACTGGCTGAATGGTCAGTGGGCTAGGTATAGTAACATGAAGGTTCCAGATTCAATCCTTGGAAGCATCACAAGGCTAGAAAGTCCCAAAATGACATGAAACAGATGTTTAGTGTTCCCTGGTTTCCAATGAACTCTCTAAATGATACTGTTTCGTGACAAAAAAAATCTAACAACTGAAACTTTACAGATGAAGTTACTAAATGTATATATATATATATATATATATATATATATATATATATATATATATACCACAAAAGTATGTATCCAGAAAAGTAGTAAAGCATTTTACAAAATGATCTATATTGAGAAAGACTGCTGGCGTGTCTGAATTTATCATCATGGTTAGAGTAGATGCTGAATAAGGAGAACATAATGACTAAGTTAGGAAAAGATAACGCCTTTCAAACTAGGGGCAGTTCACTGGACCAACCATTTATCATGCATTTAGAACTACGACCTTCTCTATCTAACTTCATTCTGTAATAGAATATAGTTTTACAGAATTTTAGATAGTGTGTGAAAATACGCTGCACCTTTTTAGACAGACTAGTAGTTCCAGTTTCCGTATACTTTCACCTTAGTTATTATTATCATTGTTCCCATGGGTTCCGAGTGGGACATGGAGTCTCAACAACACATCTCTACTTTGTCCCATTTTCTGCAGTCCTCTTCATATGGACCCACGGTTGCCCATCATCCCTCATCTCCCATTACTCGCACAACCTCTTTAATGTCACACTCGGATGACTCACTCTTCGCTTCCCATTCAGATTCCACTAGAGCGATGGATTGGTGCAATATGTCATTCTACTGACTCCTCAACGTTTACCCGATCCATCTCAATTTCTCCTACAAATTTCTTGAGCAATCAGCTCTTGGTTGGTTTGTTCCCATAGTTTCTTGTTGCTAATTCTTTCTGGTCTGGTTTACTAGCTCGCTAGTTATCTAGCCGGTCCTAAGCCCGGTAAAAGAAAGAGGGTTCGGCATGGAACAAGCGGCTCAACCCGGAAAATCAGTCAAACTTCGTCGCACAAGAAAAGTATAAGAAAAATATAAAAAACAAGCTTTTTTCGCTGGAGTTGGAGAGGTAAAACCACGCGGGCTGGTGAAAAACTTCACCTCAGTACGTTTAGTTAATGAAGGTCCGTAGATGAAATACATAATACACATGATATCGAAATAAAAAAAAACACACTTACAAAGCAGGAGACTGACAGTTATATTTATTCTGTGGTGCAGGCATCTGCGAAGATTTAACTGTCTGTTTAGTTGGATAAGATACACTTAAGCTATTTCTTTTATCTACATCTGAGCTGTCCTCACTTAGATCTATTGATCTGATCAAATCTAATCGACTGTCAGATTTTGAATGATGATCAGTGAGCATATGTGAAGAAGTCACTTTTCCTTTATTCCCTTGACTATTTTCTTCTGCATAATTGGAATGTTGTTTTAGGGGTGTTTGTTGTAGTTGATGATGTTGTTGTTCATAATGAGAAGTCGATGGTTCGTAGGCCACCATTCGATTTGCAGTTGATTTATTATTTCCTGATGAATAGTGTAATTGTGCATATTGTTGCTGCTGCTGCTGATGATGATGAAGTTGAGCATTATCGAAATCTGGTTCAAAGTGACTAGATACAAGCTGTGCATCAGATGTTGATCTAGTTGTACTATAAAATACAAAAATATGAGAATAGAGAAGATTAACTCCCTAGTTAAATTAAAAAGGTCAGAAAATCAATCGAGGAAAAAAATGAGATCATCAATGAGACAGCATCAACGTAAAATAGAAGAAAGTTTTGGGTTATCAATCTCTCAACAAGAGCATTAAGACCTGATGATATAAAAGTTCTTGTAAAAGTATCGAACATCAGTGTCAGCATTAGTAAACTAAAACCTGACGATTTCATTCCTAATTTTTTTCCTTCACGTTCCCATTGGAACATAGGGCCTCAAGCTAGCGGGTTGAAGTTTCTGTAGCAGTGTTTAATTTCTACGGGATGGGGTTTCTAGCCTCATGCCCAACCTTTCCTCTTTACCAGCATTATTTCTGGCTTAGCGAGGTTTGGGAGTGAGTCGGCCGGGGATCGAAACCCGAACCATGTGTATGGTCGACGAGCGTCCTAACCGCTGTGCCACCGACGCACAGAAGTAGCATTAAGCGGAATAAATAAAAAAAAACTGATGAACAACTTAGAGTAAATGTTTGCTGACATCTGAAACATCAGCAGAAAGCTCAGAATAAAACTTAACACGCCAAGAAATAGCAGCCCTAAAAAGCTTGAAGAATTTCACAAACATAGTAATTACCGATATTATATAGTAGTGTCCAATCAAAAGTATCCAATACAGTCCTAAAGGAGGTAAATCGCCAGCGTGAATAGCTCAGTGGCGACATCTTTGACTGCAGCACTCACCGGGTGACGCAGGTTCAAATCTCAGAAGGAACATGAGTTCTTCCAAGATTTCAGATATCCTTTACTGATGAGTGCCAACTAGAACGAAACCTAGATCGAAGGCTTTCTAGCAATGTCCCCCAACCATCTTATATCAACAATTCAAAGTGCACTGTGATGGCGAGCCACCTAGCAGGGTCACCACATTGCAAAGTATTAGAGACGCACATAACACTAGTTACTGACCAGTGTCCAATCAGTAGTAATTACCGAAACAGACAAGGGTAATTGAAGTTTAACTCGGGGAATAATTTTTCAGTTTTTTGAATGAAAACATTAATAATTATATATAGAAGATCCGCGATGACTTAATATGTGTATCATATCAATTAGTTGATCACAAATGGATGATTCTAATTTAAAATGTTGTTTAAAATTTTTAAAGTTTAATCATCTATGAGTCCTTAAGCTTCGAGATAATCAATATAAACCTTTAAACCAGTTGAATACCAATCTGCTGACCGACACCTTAAACGCTTTTGAGAAAAAGAAACGTCAGCACTACTAAATAAATTCGTTTATAAAGTCATAAGTACAGTAGTCAGTGTAGGAATCTCAGTTAAATGAGGTTGAGTAAATGTAATAGTTGATGGGAAAGTGTCACGTAAGTGAAAGGATGCTGGTCTGTAGGAACTCGATTTGTTTCAAGTTTGATCACTATTTCATATCAGTTAGAAAACCACTAAAGACCAGGAAGTAGTGGATGGCTATTTCATCATTGTTTGGGAATGACTATAAGAAGAATCTGCCTGGAATTCTAGTGACAACTAGTGACCAACGGAGTCCACCACGGTCGGATATGAAGACAAACACTCGCCGGTGAAATCATCTGTAGCTAGCAGAATTTGGAATTCATAGTCCAGTGGACTTCGTCCGGGTGTCTGAATGGTCAATTAGCTAACCTAGGAACCCAGAAGCTCCTACATTCAATCCTTGACAACGTAATGAGCAAATACCACTGAAAAGCTCAGAAGTGGTGAAAATAACTGTCCAGTATCTCCTGGCTTTAAATGGTTACCTAACAGTTGTCATATATCAATGAAACTTGAGGTGCATAAGCAATTTACTTTGAAAACCTGTCGAATGCTTTAAGATATTGTGGACATGATGCATTTTTTTCGATATTTGACAAAAGAAATGACATGCTTGGTAGCAGTCCGAAAATCCTATGACTTGGTTTATAGGGAATTCAAGAACTGTGGTACCATTCACCCAGCCTATACATCTATCCACCTATCCATCTAGCAAGGAGATCCTACGAATAATGATGATAGGAAGTCGTGACCAGTAAGGTGCAGCAGGTCGGGTGTGAGGACAAAAACTCGCCGAAGATATTCGCTAGCGGTTGTGGTATATCTTGAATTAGCAGAAGTTAGAATTCATGGGCCATTGGATCGGGTCTCAATGGCTTAATGGTCTACCAGCTCGTTTTGTAACCGGAAGGTCCTGGGTTCAAACCTAGGTGGGTGCGTACTTTGAAGGTTCCCGAACTAGGACGAAAGAGCTGTCCAGTACTCCCTGGCTTTCCAATGGTCCTCTAACTGATATCATCTCATGACGAAATCCTGTTGTGGTGAGAGCAGGCTGCTAGCCGATTGGTTGGCACTAATCTACGTTAAGGTCTAGGTCACTAATATGGGCCGTGAGAAAATATGAACAAGCCTGAGTCAACAACCAATCACAGCAAAGTTAACGTGGCAAAATATGATTCGCAGAGAGAACTCTAATTGTCAAGGAATCCCGAAACAACCAATCAGAAGCCTGCGTTTGTCTACCTAAACAACCAATCAGATGACTGCGCTTGTCTATAATAATGTAGTTGAAAGATGTATAAATACGTGTTGATTTTCATAATAAAACGATCTGTTGCCTGGCCCTTGTCTTCTGTTGTTACATTTGGTGTCGCTGCCTACCGACAAATGAAAAGCCTATACCCTGCAGTTTTTGATGGAGACATATGGATCTTCGGGCAGGACTTCAAGGCTTCTGCGCAGTTGAGTGGCGTTCAAGATCTGTCAGCGATGGAGCTGCTACTTGAGACGCTGCTGGGAGGTCGGGCGAAAGCAGCATATGAAGGTGTGGGCCGAAGTATGGACGAATGTTCGACAGGGTCAGGCAAACAGTTTCCAAAGTGGGAAGGACCATATATGGTCACTTCGAGATGGGGTTACGCAGACACAGTCGCAATGGCGAACAATGAGAGGCGCGTGAACGTCAGCGAGCTCCAGAAATGGATACAGCGAGACAAGCCAACGATGACGCCTGCACCAAGTAGATCAAGCCGACTTCAGTCGCACGTATTTGACGGGGGGACGAGTGTGGTGAGAGCAGGCTGCTAGCCGATTGGTTGGCACTAATCTACGTTAAGGTCTAGGTCACTAATATGGGCCGTGAGAAAATATGAACAAGCCTGAGTCAACAACCAATCACAGCAAAGTTAACGTGGCAAAATATGATTCGCAGAGAGAACTCTATTTGTCAAGGAATCCCGAAACAACCAATCAGAAGCCTGCGTTTGTCTACCTAAACAACCAATCAGATGACTGCGCTTGTCTATAATAATGTAGTTGAAAGATGTATAAATACGTGTTGATTTTCATAATAAAACGATCTGTTGCCTGGCCCTTGTCTTCTGTTGTTACACTGTAACCAATCAACCAAATCCCTACAAACCAATACTTGGATAAATAATTGATCTGACTTACTAGTATATTCTTAATGTATATATATATATATATATATACAAGTTGTCTAGAGAATCTGTCAGAGTTTTCTGACTTTCAAGAAAACTAAATAAATTCCAACCTTATTTCAATCCATAAGCCTTCGTTATGAATTCATTCATGTTGTCTGTTTAACCATGCATAATTCACCTGTTGTTTATGATGTACAAATAAAATGGAAGTTTTGGTTGTATGAAAACTAAAAAGACGTTTTGTTCAACATTCTATAAAAAAGTTATCCTGAGATAATGTCATAAATGCAGGGCATGACAGGGCATACTTCATTAAGTGGCATTTTCACTCAGTTATCATTGAATAAGCCATTTAATAATATTCACTTCATTTATACAAAATACAGTCTAAAAATATCATGAATAAGTCTGTTTAGGCGTGAAAATAATTCACTACTTTCATTTCCCATATAAAAAGTTTAAATTTCTTTTATGAGTTATGCATTATAGAAGGACAGGAGAAAATGAATTCAGAAGTTTTACAGTGTTATGATACCCTTAGAACGTAATTTTTCCATAATCAACAGAAACACAATCAAATATTAATTTTTGACTTTACTACAGCGAAAATATTCCTTGAGGATAACATCAGTGAGATATCAGCACAACACCTTAGAAATGCGGTATAAAGAGCATTCAGTGCTGCTGAATTATGCTGTGTCTTCATGACCACCCCTAGCTTGCGTTCGGGAGTAAAATATAAACTGCCTAATTTCGCCTATTTTATGTGTATCTATCAATTTTTTTTAATAATAATAATAATAATTTGCTTTATTCCAAAAACAGTACTAATAATACAGCAAGGAATTTTCAGCATTCAGTACAATATTGCATCTAGTTTACTCAAAAAACGACAAAAAAAAATTAAAAATAAACATTACATAATAGTAATAAAACGATTGTTATAGCAACTACATAGCAACATACTGTATGCCATACGGAGAAAAATATGCATAAAGTACAAAATTTTAGTAATAATAGTAATACCAACTAAAATAAAATGCTTCTGTCGAGCCAGTTACATAGGCCGTACAATTAGTCATGTTTCTCGTCGGATTTCTGAACACCATACCATGTGGCTTAGTAAAAGATAAACAAAGTCCATTCATAGCTCTATTCCATCTCACCTTGTGGATGCAGAACACAAGATTGATGTCAAAGAGGCTTTCAGACTCACCTACTGCATACCAACAAATTTCAATTTCGTCTTAAGAGTTTGGTTACCAAAATATTGCTGAGGCTGTTAGGATCCACATCAAGAAGCCTAATTTATGCGCCCAAAAGAAGCTAGTTCAGGCAGTTTCCTTACATTGAGCATCTAGATTCGAATGATCCTGAATTGTTGTGGAATTTTTCTAATTTTAGTTGATATTCTATTTGATATTATATTTATGTGTTTATTATAATTTGTACACCTCTACTGAACTCTAATTCTATGGATCTTACTTAATAAATCAGTATCACTTAAAAACACCAATATTATTCACGACTGTTCTAGAATATTCTATATATATATATATATAAGTGCAGAGCCGTAAGAGGAAATTATCGAAAAGAATATTCTTTGCTTGTAACTTTTCTTCTCACGGATCATCATTGTAAAGTTAAGGATGAATTGATCAATGTTCATGAAGAAAAAAAACCCGTTAGTGTAACATTAACGGAAGAAGTAAAGCCAAAGTAGGGGGAGAAGAAGAGTATATGATCGTTTCCTTTTTTTTGTTATTTGAAATGCCTAAATAATTCAGATGATAACATTGCGGTGAAATCAAGGTCAAGGGGATAAATCGATGAAGGATATTTAGTTGAAAACAAGAAAGATTTTGAAACCATATTAAGAAACTACATACTACTGATTGGTTGAGATGAGTAGTTGTATATTACTCACATCAACCAATAGTGTTTGCTGTTTCATTTGTATTTTGTCGGAGCTTATTGGCAGTGCATACGATTTTACTCCACTCAGACTGCTGAATCACTTCAATTTCTGTTGAACTGTATAAATTGCTAATTAATTTACTAACTGCCAAAGTAACATTTGAGGAAATTCATCTCAAGCACTGGAAATTAGTGACAAAGACGAAATTAACAATAGGGAAACAAAATAAGATCTTATTTAGAAGATATCAGAATTAAGCTGGAAAATATTTACTTCACAGGATTTCTTCATGAAATGACATCTGTTAGAGGACACTTGGAAAACCTGCAGGGAATACTGGATGGCTGTTTAGTGCTACTTAAGGACTCTTCATCAATATGCGACCACTGAGATTCGAACCCAGGACCTTCTGGTTACAAGGCGAGCTCGCAGACCATTAAGCCACTGGGACGCGATCCAGTGTCCTGTCCATGAATTCTAACTTCTGCCAATTCATGATATGGCGCGACCAGTAGCGAATGTCTTCGGTGAGTATTTGTCCTCACACCCGAACTGCTGTACCCCACTGCTAACAACCAGTGATTACCAGTGGCCGCGCCATATTATGAATTATAAGAAGTTTGAATTTATGGACGGGCCACTGGGTCGGGTTCCATTAGCTTATTGGTCTAACTAGCTCGCCTTGTAACCAGAAGGTCTTGTGTTTGAACCTGAGTGGGTACATATCGTGAAGAGTCCCTAAGTGGGACGGAACAGGTGCCAATACTCCCTGAAGGTTTTCCAATGGTCCTCTAACCGATGTCAGCTCATGATGAAATCCTGACACCAATCCAATACCTGCAAATCAACACTTGAATTAACTTTTCACTTAGATCCTCGTCTATCGCTCTACTCCAATATATATATATATATATATATATATATATATATATATATAGCATTTTAATGCAACACAGAAAATTTACCAATATAGCAGCGATTATTTTGTTAACAGTAATTAGTCACTGTTGCCGTATCAAAGGGGTTATAATCAACCAACAAAACTGATACAACAATTAAAGGGTAGCATTAATTGCTAAAATTAAACGAGTGGATAACACACTACATAGTCTTGGGAAAATAAGTAATTAAGAAAATAAATACGTATTCAAATTGATAATTTGTTTCTGACTTCCTTGTACTACACAAGCCTTCGCCATATATATCGAAAATTCGGAGCTATGTGTGCAAAAGAAACTAGTTCAACCTCCAATTTACCACGGATCTAGTTTGGTTTGACGATTTGGTCTTCGTCCTTTGTTTCTGTATTCCCTTTACCTTTTTTCTTTTTATTTCAATTTGTTCCCATGTTGAGTTCGTTCACACATGTCTTCTTTAAAAGCTACTTCAAATATTATGCCATTTCAATTATGCGCTTTGCAGACTATTTTAATTTAACTAGAACTGAAATGGATGAAAAGTACCACAGCTTGCTGGACAGGTTTGAAGGTAACTCTTATTATTGAGCGGTAAACATTCAAGGCAATGCTAAAAACTTCATAAATATTTATTTAGATTGTTTCTCTAGTTTGGCCACGGATTGATATCAGATAGAAAACCATTGAAAGCGAGGGAGTACTGAAAATAGTTGTTTCATCTTGGTTTGAGAATCATCGGCAGTACGCAACCACTGCCAGGGCTCGAACCCAGGACCTTCCAGTTACAAAGCAAGCTCGTATAGCATTCAGCCACTAGGACCAGATTCAATGGCGCATCAATTGCGATTTATACCAGTTCGCGATTTTAACACGACCACCAACCAGTGTCATCGGCGGGAAATCCATCCTCACTCCCAACTCCATGGACCTCATTGGTCACAACTTCTCATTAGAACACCAGGAAACTCCTTCCTGTAACAAGTCACTAGCGAGTATCAAATTAATTTTCAAGAGTTGGTTTATAAGGATTTGACTCGTTTTTCGAGTATGACCACCGGTTGGTATTAGTGGCTGAATGGTATACCAACTTGCCTTGTAACCGGAAGGTGCTAGGTTCAAACCTTTGCAGTGGCTGAGTACTACTGATGATTCCCAAACTAGGATGAAACAGCAGCTGTCCAGTACTCCCTGGTTTTCAATTGTTCTCTAACTGATATCAATCCGTGATCAACTCGTAAAACATAACTTATCCTTACAAACCAACTATAGAAAATAAAAATTTATTCACTCATTACCTTTGTCTTCAAAATATCTAAATAGATATTTGTCCATAATGATCTTACTGAACGAGTGAACACTGTTCATCGCCTACATCACCAGAAAAGTTTCATTAAAAATAGACTGCATATAGCTAATAAAATCACACTATATTTCCTGCATTAAAGAGTACCAAGCCTGTAATAATAAGTAATCAATAAAATTCAGCTACAAATAAGTCAAGTGGAAATTTAATTAATTGTCCTTGGAATCTTGTGTCACTGGCATCCATCAGAAGTTTCAGTGATGTTAAATTTCACTGTATATCACTCCTAAAATAAAATTTAGGTGAATTCAATAAGGTGAAGAATCATTTAAATGAGGAGTCATTGAATAATCATTTCAACTTATAGGATAATTAATTAAAAGAACTATAACCTCAGCTTACGGGATTACACCCTATACTATGCATGTTACTATACAATTACCATAGTAAAAAACTATTTGGGTATGGATATAACCTGCAGCAAATCAAACTTGCCACAATTTCATTTCAGTATACTTGAATATGTAGAACACGAGCTGTCAATGCCGATTTAAATCTCAATTTGTTGACTTTATATTACCGGCCTAAAGGAATGACATAATTATATCACATATTACGTCTGGGTAATTTATCAACTTTTTTCGGCAGCTAGATTATCTGTTATGACGTCACAGTAGCTTTTTGATCCTTACTCAAACAATTTGAATTAACAGTTACACTCAAGTCATAAAAGTATAACTCATTTTAGATAGAAAAGTTTAACAAAACCAAAAAAATAATAAATCAACGTTAAGTGAGTACTTGCAATAAA